TGCTTTCTCTCTGGGAATGGCCTTCTCAGTATCATCTACCTCCCTGGTCACTTCTCAGCTTAGACATGGGCTCCTTGGGGAGGCAAAGCTTTGTGATAGGGATAAGTGCCTTTACTTACCCCAATTAAAATCACCTGTTTCCTTGTCTGCCTCTCCTGAAGCAGTGGCCGATACTAGGTCACAGAGCACAGGGCTGAGGCTGTGTGACAGCAACACAGACATCTCCTTTATGTCAGAGAATGCCAATAACATGATCTCAAATACACCCCTGAGGGTCATAAAGTATCAACAAGGTGAACCCCAAGAATGATGGCAAACAAAAAAAAAATTAATCTGAAAATAACAAAAATGTTTTTTCAAACTGAAAATTTCAAGAGCCCAGAAAAGTCATCAAAAACAAGTGAAATTAAAAAAAAAGAAAAGTACGCATATGCACACATGTGTGTCAGAGAATGAATTGGATCTAGGAATGACTGACTTTCTAGGGGAGCTGCTGAGCTGAGCACTTTCCCTGCATCGTGTCACTTATTCCTTACGAGAGCCCCAGGAAGCAGATCTCGTCATCCACATGGAACAAACTAGGAAGTTGAGCAAAAAACTTGGCCAAAGTCATACGAATAACTACGTGGCAAAGCCAAGAGTCAAAAACTGGTGCTCTTAAACACTGTACTACAGATAAAAGTAAAGAGAAGAAATGGGAAATACCAAGCAATGTCAGGACTTTAAGAACTGACTTGACTGTCACTGTCTGTCCCCAGTCCCTATGCCCAGCACTCACTGGACATTGATGGGTGCACAGGGAAGCAGTCTCTATCCAGTTCCACTCAGAGGACGGGGCATAGTTCTATACTTTCCAGAAAAGTATTTGTAAAAACAAGAGACCTAAAAAAACCACAATTTCCCTTCTAGGAATCTAGGAAACTCAGGAAACTCATCACTTAAAACATGAGAGTAGCTTAAACAGGAGTAATATTAATAAATTTTTATATAATGTTATATTATGTAACCACATAAATGGTATTATTGAAAAACAGTAATGATATTAGAAAATGCTCTCATAATTATGGGAAAATTTTCAGACTAAAAATTATATATATATATATATAATATATTATATTATATAATTAATTATATAATATATATTATATATATATAATTATATACTATATTATATATATTAAATATATTATATTATATAATTAATATTATATAATACTATAATATATATAGTATTATAATACTATATGTATATATAGTATTATAATTTTGTTATTTTTATAGAAAATATGCATATGCCTAGAAAAAAAATTGGAAAAAGTCCACAAAACATTGTATTTCCCATTTCTTCTCTTTACTTTTATCTGTAGTACAGTGTTTAAGTATTTCCCATTTCTTCTCTTTACTTTTATCTGTAGTACAGTGTTTAAGTATTTCCCATTTCTTCTCTTTACTTTTATCTGTAGTACAGTGTTTAAGTATTTCCCATTTCTTCTCTTTACTTTTATCTGTAGTACAGTGTTTAAGTATTTCCCATTTCTTCTCTTTACTTTTATCTGTAGTACAGTGTTTAAGTATTTCCCATTTCTTCTCTTTACTTTTATCTGTAGTACAGTGTTTAAGTATTTCCCATTTCTTCTCTTTACTTTTATCTGTAGTACAGTGTTTAAGTATTTCCCATTTCTTCTCTTTACTTTTATCTGTAGTACAGTGTTTAAGTATTTCCCATTTCTTCTCTTTACTTTTATCTGTAGTACAGTGTTTAAGTATTTCCCATTTCTTCTCTTTACTTTTATCTGTAGTACAGTGTTTAAGTATTTCCCATTTCTTCTCTTTACTTTTATCTGTAGTACAGTGTTTAAGTATTTCCCATTTCTTCTCTTTACTTTTATCTGTAGTACAGTGTTTAAGTATTTCCCATTTCTTCTCTTTACTTTTATCTGTAGTACAGTGTTTAAGTATTTCCCATTTCTTCTCTTTACTTTTATCTGTAGTACAGTGTTTAAGTATTTCCCATTTCTTCTCTTTACTTTTATCTGTAGTACAGTGTTTAAGTGGGAGTGCCGCCGCGCTTCCCAAGCGGCGCACTATCCAGTGCGCCACCGGGCCGGCCCAATGATAGAATTTTTTTAAAAGGACAAATAAATAATAAATTTATGATAACTATTTTATGGGAATAATTCTTTGACTTCTTAACCCACAAAAGAAAGAATATGAGCCTGGCCTGTTAGCTCAGTTGGTTGGAGCACGGAATTATAACATCAAGGTGAAGGGTTTGGACCCGCGAACCAGCCGGCTGCCAAAAAAAACCAATAAAGGAAAAAGGAAAAATAATAAGGAAAACAGGAAAAAATCTGAAGTAAACGTAATAGACAAAATTTTATTAATTGAATAGAATTTGTAATAGTGAAACACTGGAAATAGTTCATATGGTCAATGATGGGGAGATTGTCATATTAATCATAATATATAAGTTTAGAGATGTTTCTAAACATCCCACAATCTAAGAACGTAAAGGTTTTGGAGATATATATCTATTTATATATCTCTATATATGTGACAGAGATGGAACATGACCTTCAAAGCCTGAAATATTTGCTATCTGGCCCTTTATAGAAAAAGTTGGTCAACCCTTGCTATAAAATCTTATGTACACATTAAATTAATAAAGATAAAGTCTCTGATAACAATATTAAAACATATATATAAAATCACATTATGCAATATCACAAAATGAAAGAACACCTAAAGATTAGAAGAGACCAAAAATTTTGATAGCTCTTTTTTATTCATTCATTCACTATCTAATATTTTTGGAACACTTACTGTGTGCCAGACACTGATGTTCACATAAGAAACATCAATGAACAAAACAGACAAAAATCCCTGTCTCATGGAGCTTACATTCTAGCAGGAGAAAGGCAGACAGGAAGCAATAACTATTTAGTGTCCCTGACGGTAAGTGCTATGGAAGAGGTTTGTCGTCTAAGGATTGTAAATAGGGTGGGCAACACACATCTCATTGAGAAAGTGAGGGATAGTCAAAACCCAGAAGGAGGGAAAGGTGTCATTGATGTGGATTTTGGGCAGAAGGGCATTCCAGGCAGCGGCCCTGAGAATGGAGAATGTGTGGGATGCAGAGGAGCAGCAGTAGAGGAACACACTGGACCTCGGTGAGCTAGAGAGGTGGCAGGGTGGGGCCAGACTACACAGGGGGTTTTGAGGACCTTTTCAAGGTCTGGGAACAGGGTTTGAGCAGAGGAGTGACATGGTTTGCTATGGTTTGAATGGGTCCCCCAAAGTTCATGTGTTGGAAACTTAATCCCCAATGCAACAGTGTTGGGAGGTGATTAGTCATTATTGTGATTAATGTCATTATTGTGGGAGTGGGTCAGTTATTTGAGACAGTGGGTTTGCTATCAAATTGGGTTTAGCTCCCTCTTGCTCTCTGGCTGTCACCCTCTCTTGTTCTTCCGCTCTGCCAGGGGATGACACAGCACAAAGGACCTTGCAAGATGCTGGCACCATGCTCTTGGGCTTCCCAGTCTCCAAAACTGTGAGCCAAGTAAATTTCTGTTCATTATGAATTACCCAGTCTGTGCTATTCTGTTGTAGCAGCAGAAAATGGATTAAGACATGATGTGAGCCGCGTCTTGATGCGATGGCTATGGCTGCTGTAAAAGTCAGAGACTATAGGGGCAAGGGTGGCACTAGGGATACCAGCTCGGGAAGCTACATACACGAGCCCAGAAAAGGAATCCACGGTAGTGGTTCCAATAGTTAGGAATGGTCAGATTCTGGATATATTCTGAAGGAAAGATAGAGCCAAAATGATTTCTGATGAGAGTATGCGGGTTGGAAGAGTCAAGAATAACACCAAAGTTTTTGACCTAAGCAAATGAAAGGATGGAGTTGCCAACTCACTAGATGGGGAAGACTCAGGATGGGGTTCAGGTTTTGATGTACTAAATTGCATCTGTCTGTTAGAAGTTCAGGTGAAGTGTTATATATAGGTGTCTGGAGTTGTCAGCATATAGACCCAAGTCATCAAATCACCCAGGGTAAATATAAATAAAGAAGAGAAGAGAACCAAAGGACCAAGACACTCAAGATGTTGAGTGTCCCAAAAAAGAGGAACCTGCAGGAAAGACCAAGAAATCGTGGCCAGTTAATGCAGGCAGAAAGCCTGGAGTGTTCTGGAGGTCAAGGGCAGAAAGTGTGTCAAGGAGGAGGAAGTTGTCAATGGGTCAATGGAGGAGTCAGGTAATAGGACCGGGAATTCACCACTGAATTTAGCAATGTGTGCGTCACTGGTGACCTTGACCAACGAGCAGGTTTGGTTTAGCAGAGGGATGGTGGCAGAAGCCCACTTGGAGGAGCTTAGGAGGGAATGAGGAGACAAGAATTGGAAACAGCAAGTTAGCATTTCTGAGAGCTTTTCTTGCAAAAAAGAGCAGAAAATAGAACCATTGTTGTCATCAGAATTGGAGTCCAGAGAAAGATGTTTTTTTGCTTTTTCATTGCAAGAAATAATGGCATGCTCGCATGCTGATATGAATGGTCCAGTAGGCAGGAAAGCCAGATAGGAGCATGACTGTGAGCTCGTCCATGGTGACATTGAGCTTACCTGCATGTCAGAGACGTTGCTGTACGTAGGCATTTCTCACTTAATCCCTGTAACGACCTTTTGCAGGAGAAACTATTATTCCATTTTATAGATGAGGAAAGGGCCTTCGAAAATTGCAGTAATTCCATAAATGGAGCTATCATTCATGCCCAGCTCTGACTCAATGCCCTTACTTAATTCTTTTTTTTTAAACCGTGGTGATAAAATATACATAGCATGGAATTTACCTTTTTAGTTATTTCTGAGTGTACAGTCCCGTGACATTAAGTACATTCACGTTGCTGTGCAGCCATCACCGCCATCCATCTCCAGCACGGTTTTATCTTCCCAAACTGAAACTCTGAACCCATTAAACAATAACTCCCCACTTTCATTCTTTTAAATATCCAAATATATTTATAAAAACAAATTAGACTGTCTTAACCAAATGTAAACAGTTATTACATTAAAGGTACTAGGTTGAGGCATATTTTGGCAATATTGTTAAAATAAAAAATATTCATTTAAAACATTTTTTTTTAATTGTGCACTTGAGTGCTTCCATCTTGAGTGCTGAGATAAGGGAAGTAGTTGATATGAAAGCTCATTGAGCTCCCTCCCAGGCATAAGAGGTCCCCCAGTTTCTTCCTGGGTGCCGAGGGTATTCAAAGGGCCAGACTGCGGGGTCCAGACACCCAGCTGCATTCCCAGGACAGGTGAGAGTCAAGCTACACCTGCCCCATACAGAGTACCATCACCATGTGGGGCCTGGGTGGTCAGTCTCACCCACCCAGCCTCAGCTCAGTCTCCAAGAGCTTGACGGGGCTCTGGCTTCAGAACACTCCCGGCTTTACCTCTGCCCTGGGCTCAGCTCCATCCTACTTGAGAGGTCAGGTCGCCTCCCCTGAGACCCTCAATAAATCTCCTCTCCTCAGAGGCCAGCAGGTCACTTTGGTGAGTCCTCAGGTTGCTGGAAATTCTTGTGCAGGAAATGAGGAATCTTCCCAGACGACCCTGGGTTAGAAGTAGAACAAGCAGAAGTGTGGAGAGCAGCAAGACTTGGATGATTTCCAGCCTAATTCCCTTCCCCAGGAGCTACTTTGAGCAGTACCCACAGCCTCACGTATTTGGGTTCCAAAGCCTCAGGCTGCAGTGAGCTAACTTGGGGAGGAAAAAACATGAGACAAGAAAAATATAAATAGAACACACATTTCGGTTCCAATATATAGGGCATTTTGGGGGGACCCAAGTTTTGAAGTGAAATATAAGAATACAACGAGTTGAAGTGTTCTCCATTTCTGCTTGTACGGTGGTGGAACAGCTGCTGTCGACTGTACGCAAAGCTGTACTAGACAATGCATAACGAAACTTGGGATTTCTACAGGAAGAAATAAAGGAAAAGTATCAATACACGTCAAATACCACGGTGATCACCACTTGCTCTTTTGAAAATGTTCATATTTTTAAAAACATTTGCTGATTTTTTTAGTAAGACCAGAAATAAGACATTTAATGTTGTTTATCTCCATAAATGTTTCTACACCAAGTGAAACAACCCTATAACAGTTAATTTATTAAGCACTCTGTCGGGCATTGTTCTAAGAATTTTACATGTATTAACTCATTTAATCCCCATAACAATTCTATGGAATAAGTATTATTATTACGCATTGTGGCAGTTATTGAGCTATTCTAACGTTAACTATGAAGAAAAAAATCAATAACCTGAAAACGTGCTAAGTGAAAGACGCTAGTCACCAAAGCCGACGCACGGTGTGAGTGTCAGTGGCTACCAGGGTGGGGTGCGGTGGGGCGCAGCGGCTAGTGGGGATCCTTTCGGGGTGATTGAAATGTTTGTGGTGATGTTTGCACAACTCTGTGAATAGGCCAGAAGTCATTGAACGGTACATTTTAAATGGAAGGATTTTATGGTATGTGAATTACATGTCTGTAAAGATGTTTAGAAACACACCGCTTACGGTCCCATGATCAGCCACAGCTACAGGCGTGGAAGCAGCTGCACACGTTTCACACGGTCATACAAACATTACGATTGTGTGACGCAGGCTTTGGCGCAGGTGACGGTCTTTGAGCCGCAGCGCACTCGGGACCGCGGCTCCGCGGCCGCAGCAGGGATGGGGCTGCGGCTTCTGCTCACTCGGAGGCGGAGGCGAGGCTGGACACACGTGCTTGTGCCGAGAACAGCCCCGTCCTGTCGGCTGGAAACACGGACCTGTTTTTGGTGTCGCAAGGAAACATAAACCGGGGAGCGGTCCTCTCGGCGCCGGCCTCCGCCGTCCACTGTCTGCCGTCCGCTCTCCTCTGTCCGCTGGCCTCTACTGTCCATCCTCCACTGTCCTCTGTCCGCCATCTGTTGTCCTCTGTCTCCTATCCTCTGTCTGCTGTCCTCTGTCCACTGTCTGCTGGCCTCCACTGTCCACCCTCTGCTCTTTGCCCTCCATTGTCCTCTGTCTCCTGCCCTCTGTCTGCTGCCCACTGTCCGCCGTACACTGTCCGCTGTCTGCAGATGGTCCACGGTGCCCGCAGGACTCCACAGATGCAGCACAGCTCCTCCAGCGCGTGCCATGTTAGGCGCTGCCCACTGGCCTGGCCGGGCAGAGACCAGAGGAGCGAGGGGAAAGGAGGGATTTTCCACAAACTTTTTCAAGTACCTTTGTATACTCCTCATCCCCTCCCCATCCATTCTAAATTCCCCTCACTCTCAGCTTCACATTGGCCAAGGAGGCCTTGGTGGCCTGGGGTGTGACTGGAATCTTCATTTCATTTTTTAAAAAAACTAATTAATTATTATTACTTTTATACATTCTAAGATGTTGTGGAGCTGTTGGTGGGGAGCGGGAGAGGACAAGGAGAGGGGGATAAGAAGAGAGGTGGAGGAAGGGGGTGTGGTCAAGGCCTGTGGCACCCCCTCATTCTGGCTGGGGAGCCCAGGGGGCTTCTGGTCATCTCTCAGTCATGACTGGGCTGGATTGGTACTTTGGGGGTCATAGCTGAGGCCCTCAGTGCCCCACTCTGGGAGTCTGGGGTGCTTCTAGTGGAAGCTTGATGGTTCTCACTGGGATGGGTGCAGACATCAGGGGGCATGCCTGAGGCCCTTGGCCCCCACCACCCTGGCTTGGGAGCCCAGGGTACTTCCAGCAGCAGCTCTGTGGTTATCTCTGGGCTGGATGCAGATGTCGGGGTGGGGGGGGGCATGGCTGAGGCCTTTGGCCCTCTCCCCACCCCAGCTTGGGAACCTGGGGGGCTTCTGGTCCTTCTAGGTTTTATAGGTGTTCTTTGGTGGTGTTAGAACTTTACTGGTTAATATCAGAACTTTGTCTTTGATCTGTGCATATTTTGTTTTTCCTTTCAGTTCTGTGTTGTATTATTCGCTATTCCCACCACTTAAACTCTACATTGGAACTAATTTGTTGTCCTTTGGTTACTTCTAAAATGAGCAAACTTCCTGTGGGAACCAGCACTTGAGCCCTGTGGTTGAGCTAAATTGCTGCTTTGCTGCTGATTGTTTAGGAAAGGCTTTTAATGCAGCTTAGGTTTTAATTGTTGACCTTGTAAGCACTTCCGTGTCTTGTGAGGTCCATTACACCTGGGTTGTGTGGAAACTCTAATCTTGGCCTGAGTCTTTTCAGGAAACTGCAACCCTTGCAGATCTGTATTCTTGACCAGTCTCCACTGAGTGGGCCTGTGCTGACTGGGGGCAGATCAGCTGTCCTTGATGTGCCCCAATGTTCCCCCAGTATCCTCATCTCCCCTATCGCCCATACTCCAAACACTTCCCATGAGGTGGGCCATGTGCATTTCTATTCTCCAATAGTGAGCATGCAAAAAGAGAAATCAAGAAAGCCTGCCCATTTACAATAGCCACCAAAAAAATAAAATTCTTAGGAATTGAGTTAACCAAGGATGTGAAAAGTCTCTATAATGAGAACTACAAGCCACGCCTGAAAGAAATTAGAGAAGATACAAGAAGATGGAGTGATATCCCATGCTCTAGGATTGGAAGAATCAACATAGTGAAAATGTCCATACTACCCAAAGTTATATACAAATTCAATGCAATCCCCATCAAATTTCCAATGACATTCTTTTCAGTAATGGAAAGAACTATCCAGACATTTATATGGAACAACAAAAGACCATGAATAGCCAAAGCAATGCTGAGCAAAAACAATAAAGCTGGAGGCATAACACTACCTGACTTTAA